TGCATGAATGTAAACACAATCGAGATAAGAACCTTCATCAAGTTATTTTAGAAGCACAAAATGACAGCAGTATTGATCCTATTCTGATTCCTAACTGCTCTGAAGAAGATGATCCTGAACAGCTTTTGCAAATGCTCTCCATCGTAAATGAGACCACCACAAATGCCTACTCTGCATCAATAGGTAACCAAGAGCAACGCTACCTCAATGATGCATTACTCAATGGCGAGTGTATTAGTACTGCACTTCGAAAATATTTAGTTTTATTTATACCACAGAAATACATGGAGCCAAAATAGCTATAATGTCGTACATGACTTCAACACATATGTCGTAGCTAACTCACATCATGCAGCAATGATTAAAGAGTAGAAACGCGACATGCAAAACCAGAAGAGATAAAGCAAGAAATTATTTAGTTTCAGGTGAGGACACTGTGATGGTACATGATGATGAGACACAAATTGAAGTTGTAACTGCTGAGATACCAGCACACCCATTTAAAGTGCAAACTACCGCAGTACCATCTGTGTCTGCAACATTATCAAAAAATACACGCTAAATAGTCCGTAAAAGTATGCTTTCATGATTGTTACTAGCCATCTAGATGGCGAGAATCAAATTCACACCGGTATATATTTTTCAATTTTCAATTTACAAATTGTCATTACCCATAATCCTTTAGGTACTATCGGCAATCAGTTACTGATGTGTGTACCTGGCTATGGCGGTACTAGAAAACCTCAGCTGATTCGTGCAATCACGAAATATTTCCAACTAACGAGGAGGGGCAAAATGTTGCATAAACTGGCATCAACATCTATGGCAGCAGCAGAGATTGATGGATTAGCTATCCATTCATTTTTAGGTGAAAGTCGGAAAAATTCCAAAAAGAAGTAAACACGAACATTCAGATCCGGTGATACGCAGTTGGAAAATGAATGGCGTTCTGTCAAGTACTTGATAATCGATGAAATGAGTATGGTCGGAGTTAGCCTATTAGCTCGTCTCAATCGAATAGTGAAAACAGCAAAGCATATAAATTCAGAGGCTCTTTTTCATGGTGTAAATGTCATTTTTTTGGGCGACTATCTGCAATATTCTCCGGTGTCGGATAGGCCTCTCTATCACAGCTGCGCGTCGTTCCAGCATTTTGCTGAGCGTCAAATAGATATGCTATGCGCACAGAAACTTATATCTCCAATGAATTGTGTTGTTGAATTAAACCAGCAAATGCGAACCGAAGACATGTGATATTTAGAGCTTTTAAACAGGCTAAGAAACAGGCAATCGACAATCGAAGATTATCAACTTCTTTGTACACGTATCATAGGAACACCAAAGCTCCAAGCATCGTTGCAACAAAAGTCATGGAACGAAGTATGTAGAATCATTTTTTTCCACATGTCCTAAGGTCTTCTTTAACAGGCTCCAAGATTGGTTTTGCGGAATGTACTCCATACTCAAATCAACAATAGCGCTGTCCTAAGTAAAGCGATGAAGATGGGGCTTATACCAATCGTATGTATTGCTCAAGATTACATTCAAGGAAAAAACATAGAAGATTCACGATTACGTAAAGCGATTCTTCAACTATCTGATAATAAGAGAGTATCTTCCAGGTTATTTACCTCTTGTACCGGGAATGCCAGTTTTGCTTGCACAAAATGTTGACACTGAGCTCGAACTCTTCAATGGTACATGTGGAATATTTCGTCAACTTGTCTACGAAGAATCTTCAGTGGATGTTCAATTCCACGACAACAGTTTTCCAACATATACCAAATTTATAACGAAACTCAAATACTCTTTAGTAGTAGAGATGCGCAAATACAAGTACAAATTGTACTCTGAAGAGAACATGACCCGAACTTCTTAACAAAAATGTAGCAAAAGTTGCCAAAATCACCAAAAGAACAACAAAAATTTCTATCAGACGTAAAGCTCTTCCTTTAATTCTCGCATTCAATATGACAACATGTAAAAGTGAAAGTCAAACACTCGACAAAATTATCATTGATCCCATTATGCCACCTGGCCCAGTTGAAGTCGCATCGGTGTACGTTCCATGCTCTCGTATTAAACGACTTGATGATTTACTGATCATTCGTTCTTTTGAATTCACAACTCTACAAGTGAAACCAACGGCAACTCAGCTAGAGAAACTGAAGAGATTAGACAAAATCGTACAAAACACTCGAAAATGTTTTCCATTAAATGTTGAAATCAAACAAAATCTAATAGTACCATGATTTTCGAGGTAAATTGCACCCTACAAAGCATTTACTCTATATACCATGTTCGACTTGTGTTCGTTTCAGCATCTAACTCTGTTGATCCTTCATGAAATTTGTGCAAATTCTTATCTTGAAATTTTGAAATAAATCCTTTATATATGTAGCAGTGCATGAAAAGAATTCAATCTATGAAAAAGTTCTTTCGATTGATTTGTAAAGCCATCGATGCGCAGCCCATGCAAACAGCTCAACCCATCACATCATCAGGCATATGAAATAATTTGTGTGTTACCTGTCAAATTTCAATGTGCATGGTCGTCAGATATATTGGCAAAAACAACTGGGGAGACCAAAATCAACGTATCATTGTACACACGAAGATGCAAGCACTACCGTGCGACATAGAAAACTCTCAGTCAACGAAGAAAACAAAAAGAACAGATACGACCATTTCTACACCCTGATCTTACTATAAGACGTCTAAACAAACGCATCCTCCGTGTGACAACCAGTTTCACTCCACAGAGGTACTTGAACCGAAATCAGCACCACCAAACATCTGATTGGTAGAGGGAATAATTATTCTTTCTATGTATAATTGTCTCTTGTTTTATTTTGATTTCCTTATTTCATTGTTTAGTGTTTATTATAGTTCTATAGATCTATTATATACTTACACACAGCAGCTGTCATTTGTCCATAGACATCTATTTAATTGTTCTTATTCGCTTAGTTATAAAAGAAATGAACATTGATCCTAACAACAGTAATCATGATTGTGTTGGTTTTCGTCTGGGTGTTGGTCGCAAGCGAAAGGAAGCAAAATCATCAATTCAAATCATATTAAATGAAAGATGAGAACAAGTTACACGTAGACAAGAAATGCCGACTCATGTTCATGAGATCGCTACAAAATTGGCGATTAATCGTCGACTTTTAGCGATCATGCTGACGATTTTTTCGATAAATCGCGTTTTAATTACTGATTTACAAGTTTCAAACATCAACTGCTTTTAAATCTTCTACGATAACAATAGTTACGAAAAGAAAAACAAAAAAATATATATTTTAACCCTCACGACATAACTTGATCATATACAAAAAAAAATAAAATTAATAAAAAAAGAAGTTTAATTAACTACATAAAAACAAGGTCTAAGTGATGATTGGATCAGATTGTGACCATGCCGTGGTTTTGCACTACTCAATGATTAGCACTGTAAAATGAAATTTAAGATCTACAATATAAAAATGAGTCTACGCATCTGCAATAGGGAGATACCATAATGATCAGAATCAATACTGCAATGATCTAAATGAATGTATGAAGATGTTAATGATAATAACTCTTAGTTTTTTCTTGAATGATTTATTACTGAGCTGTCATTGATTGTCGTAGTTGTTCACTGGAATTTAAATTGATATTTTTGTGGTCTAAAAAATGAGATTATAGACGTTCATAGCAAAAGTTTAAGAATCGTCTATTTGATTTTGTTTCTTTGTAAATATGTTACGTCTCGTTTTTGTTCTTTCAAATGTGATGCAATTAAACATTGAAACCCAAGAAGTCATTAATAATTTAACTGTTAGTCCTAATTTCTCTTGAACACCATTTATACAAAAGCAAGATTTCGAACAGAAAAATTACACAAAATTTACTTTTGAGTGTGTTGAACTGTATGATTTATGTCAATGTTACATGAATCAATCACCAAAAGTTTGTTCCTATTTTGCTTCGTTTTACAATAATTATTATATCAAAATAAATCTAAATGCTTTCTTAATAAAATAAAGAACAAAGTAATGATCGATATTCAAAGATCGTCAAGTCGGATGCGCTAATTGTGGTGACATCAATATTGATGTATAGGGATCCCGAAAGATGCGCACGAGTAAGTTGCGCACGGATAGTTTGTGCACGTAATAAAAAATTCATATGTACAAACAATTATGTTATCCACTATATCATTAACAGTAATTAATAGACATAGTCTTCTTGATTGTTTAAGCTCATTAAGGTGAGCTCATTTTATGAACAAATTTGTGACGTATAAAAAAAATGATCATTCGCATTCGAAATAATTCATTATCAGTTATCATCAAGTATGTCTACTCCTATCGAATTCACTACTACTACAAAAGGTCGTCCCTTAACGATATTAGATGGTTATTTATACACTCAAGATCGTCGAACCGACACAAAGACCTATTGGCGTTGTAAAAATCATAAAACTTATAATTGTCATTATCGAATACATACATGGAATTCTACTAGTACTAAAACTCATGCCATGATATTAAAACAAAATGGAACTCATTCAACAAGTTGTAATCGTGATCTAATTAAAATTACAGTGAGAAAATTTCGTGAAGACGTCACCGATCGTGCAAAATGTACTCAAGAAACAACAGATACTGTATTATCACAATGCATCTCAAAATTACCTGATTCAGCACGCATACGATTACCACCATTAGATCATGTTAAAAGAACAATTCAACAACATCGAAAAAAAATTGATTTACCATAAGTACCAAATAATGTGGATTTTCCTATCGTTCCTATGAGTTTACAAACAACTAAACGAAATGATAATTTCTTACGCATTGATACAGGTCCAGGTGAGTAATGCACACCTTCCTCGCGACTTAATGAGAAATATTTTCTAGGGAGCTCAGTGAGTCACTTATTTTAATATTTTTGTTTAGGACCTGATCGAGTACTCATTTTTAGCAGTCCTGAACAAACTGCAATTTTAGAATCAGCAAGTGATTTTTTGATGGATGGAACTTTCGATGTAAGCTAAACGTTTTTTTAAGAATTAGGTATAATATACTAATCGAAAATTCTTATTTTAATTTAGATCGTTCCGGATATATTTTACCAGCTGTACGTGATCCATGCTGTCCATCGTGAACATGTTATTCCTGTTGTATTTTGTTTACTTCGAAGAAAAAACACTGCCACATATCAAGACATGATCAATAAGATTTTAGAATTTGCACCAACATGAAATCCTCGAAGTATAATGCTGGATTTTGAAAAAGCAGTTTTGAATGTTCTGTCAATCACTTTTCCACAAGTTTCTTTATCTGGTTGTTATTTCCATTTACGCCAGAGTATACATCGACAATTACAGGTATGACTGAGTTATACGATAGTAAAACACGTAAATTATATGCTTTTGACCATCTTACATACCTTTTATTTCAGGAGAAAGGCTTCCAAACGCAATACGAAGATGATATTGATTTTGCTCATGGCATACACAAAATTGCGGCATTGGCTATTATCCATCCGAATGATGTTATTAATGCATTTGTAGATCTTAGCGTTCATCTAGGAGACGCATTTCAAATTATGTTAGATTATTTTGAAGATAATTACATTGGCCGTTTTCGTCCAAATGGATCACGTGCACAACCTCTGTTTAATATTGAATATTGGAATGTTTATGAACGAACTAAAAACCAAAAGATGAGAACTAATAATTCAGCTAAGGCCTGGAATAGACGCATCAGCAAGTATATAAATATAAAATTAAAATATAATTTTTATATATGAATGATTTTCTTATTTCAGGATGTGTTTTTCAATGTTCACATCCAACTCTATGAAAGTTTATTGATAAATTAATATTAGAAGAAGATTCTCAAATTCACACAAAAATTACTCGAGTCAATGCAGGCGAACCAATTACTCAAAAATAGCAGTATCAATATCTCGATAAACGTTTACACAATCTTGTTTCAAATCCTCATCAAAACATTATTGATCAGATTACTGCTCTAGCTCATAATACCATTCTATGATTTAATACAATTCTTACAGATATGAACACTAGTAAATTTACTTGTATCTATACAGTAACAACGACTTGAACTTTACTTTCGTGCATTACTTACTCATCTAATTATATTTTTGATTTTGAAAATAAAATAAAAATTTTGTTGTTCTTGCTACTTCGCTATATCTGTATTATCTTTTGGAGTATAAATATAAATTTTTTATTTCGTGCGCAACTTACTCGTGCGCATCTTTCATAGACCCGATGTATAACATAACACTGAAAAATCTTTTATTAAATAGAAGGGTGTCGAACAATACCTCTGAACTTAGTGACTAGAGTAGCTGATAGTCACTAAAGATAATACTTTTCATTGTAAACCAGTTGTTATCTATGTCAAATAAATAAGTTTCTAAACTTGTCAACATTTAAGTCACACTTTTTTGTACATATGTTTGTACTTATTCTCCTCATAAAGTCAATTTTATAATCTGTTAATATTATTATATCATTAGATAGTCCATAGTTCTCTCTAGCAAACACCCAAGTATAGTCGTAAAATAACAAAAAATCATTGCAAAAGAAGGGACTAAACAAATAATCCTTCACCCTGAATTTTACGACCAAGCACTCTAGTACATCAGAATACTGAGTGCGTACAATGACAAAACAAGAGAGAGAAAGTAGTGGAAAAGTCAGAAAAATTAGAAATGAACATATGATTATACAGATAATGACACACGGTACCATCGTCACAAGGCTCTCTCACCATAGAAAATTCTAGAGCTCCTGCGATTGTACTAGAACTATGTATCTATTGTTATTTGTTGTTTTTTTGTATGATGTTGAAAGAGAGGGAGAGAGAGAGAGATGCGTCTCAGTTTATCGCCAAAACATTTATGATGTTTAATGAGAACCGATTTAAGCTGTTCAGTTTGAGATGAAGTGATATTAGTATGAGAGAGATCTAAGTTAGATGCAACATTAGAGTGAAGGTCAAAAATCGTAGAAGATCGAACATTACATTAAATAGTACCCAATAATTTATTATCACAAAATTTAAAACTATCATTAATAAAGGTAAAGCTTCGAATATTTGAGGTTTATTGAATCCTCTACACATGATAGAGCCTAAAGAGACATAGTGCCGATTACAAGGAAATTACAAAAAATGAAAGCAATTAATGGCAAGTTCAAACACTACTAAAAAGGCGTAAGTCTTTTCGAACAACAGTTGGTTAAG